CTAAAGCCAGGCTTAACCATCAAATCATAATTCTACCCTAATGTATGCTAATTGCAAGTGGTTTCACATACGGCAATGAATTAGTTGGCAAACGGGGAGGGGATGGTATACTTAGGCTTGCCAACCTACTTGCCTTATTTTTCTGTTTGACTGTCTGCCTGTATGTCTATCGGTCGGTTTGTCTGTCTTTGGTTTCTACTCGTAGATCATTTTCTATAATACCGTCTTGTTATCCTTCCTTATCAGCCTGTACTTTAGAAAAATGCAAATTTCCTTCTCTTTTCACTTATTAAACTTCAAATGTATATAATAGAGGCACAAAATGAAACTGTTCTTCCACCCAAACAATTTGTTCATATGAACAACCAGCTTTATCCCATAAAAGATACCCCAAGGTCTATCCACATCTTAGAGACCATAGCAATTATATGACATCAATTATTTGAAATTATTCTGTTGTCTTATATTGTGTGAGAATACTTGCCTAAAGTTGTTATTTACACTTGATTGACCAATAACCATTAAAGGGCAGTAGGTGGGTTTTATGATGACAGAATAATGTACCTGCTTTTCTATAGCTTACGTATGAACTGTAATAATATATATCTTTAAGTATTCTATGGTTGAGCTCACTACCATTGCAAGTGTGAGTAAGGAAGAGACTCGAGAGTCAATCCCACAAGCAGATGATTGTGGTTTCCTTTTGGCTTTACTTGAAAATTTGTGCCAACGCTGTTTTCGGAACATAGCTCTTAATTACGAGTAAAGCAAGGTAAATTTTCGTATGTCGTGTCCTTGACATTACGTAGGCAGAATGATGGTTAAAAAGGGAGACATTGATGACCTAGGTTAGGTTACATGCTCTGTGCTAATTACTTTGAACTATCAATGCTGGTTACGCATATTTACGTACACACGAAGGCACATAAGCACACAAACCCATAAACAAGAGCACACTTCTAGATAGGCATACGACTTGAACTAACAAAATCACCACAAAACCCATAAAAATGCGCAATCCGGTGAGTTTGTTTGGCTCGTTGGCTTTAAATGGTTGTAAGAATGATAGCTTAAAATGATGTTGTCCGTCGTGTGGCAAAAAACTCCTTGCAACCCAACATTTTGCATAGATTAGGGTGAATAAATAAAATGCCAAAAAAATTCCCCTTAATTCGCGGGTGATCAACGAAATATTTGTTGAGTTTATTTGGCTTTTTTTTCAACAATTACATTTAAACGGGTATTCGTTAATGCTACTACATTTGTGAAAATATTGGTATTTGTAATGACATTTTTAGTAGGAATTCTTTGTTTGGGATTTTTGGTGAATTTGTCGTAGATCATAGTTTCAGGCTCTAGTGCTGCTCGCCAAATGACGGACTAAAGCTCAGTACGTATTCATCGGTGTCGTAGAATGGTGTGCCGAGGTGTTCTTCGCAAAATCCAGCAATCCTTCTTCGGTGTTCGATGATGTCGATTTACGAATTTATTTAACTCACCTTTTCAAACGAAATTAATAATACGACTGTTTGAAAGCCATCTTCCCTTCATATCTCTATATTACAATTTCCCTTGGCATGGAAGTGATATCAGCATCAATCTATTAAGAGATTCATCGAAACCCAACTTTCATTCAAATATATTGAAGATACTACTGGCAGAAATATGAATTGAGTGCACGTATTGTTCTGGGATTCAGTTGTTAGATAACCACCAGAAACCAACCTTGCAACTTCATCTGAACTCGAAAGGTATTTTGCATACCCTTATCCACGAAGTCTCGAATCGGAATATTCTGTCTGACAGATTACGGATGTGAAAGCATTTTCCGATTCCAAGTCAGTCGGTCCGATGTGCGCCTGTTCGTGGTGCACAAGTGACTTGTACCAATTGACGGTCCGTCATGCCTGACATACACTTATCCTTCCCCGGGTAAGAAATTAATTCTTTGGCAAAATAGTATCTCTCCCTCTCTCATGCACAGACAAGCATAAATCTCGGCCTAACCTGAACACCGGTTCTGCCCCACTTTAGCCGACTTCATCACGAGCCCTCCAAAAATGGCCCCTTGCATTTTAAATTCTCCAACATGTACAGCTAATCTTACCAACAGCACCCAACTAAACATAAACTCGGCTACAGGCAAATGGCAACTTGTACATGGCAGAGGAGAACTGTGAAGCCCAACAATTGTTCTGTCCGTCTGTCTACCTGTACTTGTGTTATTTCCCCAACATATTTGCCCGTGTGTATGCTCACATGGACTGACATCTACCTCTGTAGACAGCCGCCAACACGCCCTAGTCTAACGCGCATCGCATTCGGCCTGGTTCATATCTGTCTTCGGGTTTGGCCAGTGTTGGGCCGAATCTACTGGCCTTTTTCGGTGGTAAAGCCTTGGAGGTAGATGGAAGCCGAATGTCTCGCAGGCCTCGAGAGCCGCCTGCCGGACCACCACGAAAACCACCCGCCACTCGGCCCTGTCCGAGAAGGGGTCGCGGCTGCCTGGTCTCTCGTGCGGAAGTCGACAGGTCGACCGGACAGGTAGATGTGAACGATCAAGTCTTGCCGGGCCTGAATGGCCGAAGTTAAGTGCTACGCCCATAACGAGTGAAATCGAATGTCTACAGAAGAATGAGCCCAAATAAGGCTAGGCTGTGCACGTCGGTGGTGCAAACAGAGCCTAATATATCATCAAGCAAACTATGCCTGCCGTTATACAAAGAATGGGTTGCAAAACTCGGGCAAAACTTACACATTGCCAATCGTGTGGGTATTTAACTCTCGTGATCTCTCACGCTCATCTTTCGGACAACCAGAGCCTCCGAAGGAGCCTGCATTCACTTAGCCTGTATGTAATGGGTCGGCCGGTGGCAGAAGAGCTAGAAATATAAACCGAATGGTTCGATAAGACCAAAGTACAGTTCTTCCTGGATGCTATTACCTTTATAGAAGAAAGAATAAATAAAACTCAATTGGAATGTATAACCTTATGACCTAAATGTCGGAAAAACTCACTATTAATCTATAAACCACCTTAAGCGACACAGGATGACTAAGCTATTACTTAAGAATTACCGAAAATCTCGAAGCCTACTTAAATCAAAAATAAGTAACTTCGTCAATTGTAATTGCAAGCATATGTTTGCTTCATCGACAATCAAACAAAGAATGTGAACCAAGAGCGGCCTGCCTCACCTTGAATGCCACATCTGCCCCGTGATCTACTGGCACGCGTGGACGTGTAGTGGAGTGAAGTGGCAGCATCACCAAGATACTCACGACATGATATCAGATCTCGCTAAGGGTTCTGACGAGACCTTGGCAAGTTCGAAACTTAGGTCTACATTGGATGAAATAGCCTTTTGGAAGGTAAGACTAAGTGGAATTTAATGGTATTGTGAGGTCTCCTCAACTCAATGTAGGAAAAATTCTGCTATCAGTCATTAAATAACCACAAGCAACCTAGAATAACTAAGGTATGAAGACCAAGATGGTGTGGCCTTTTGTGTGGTCGCAGTCTCCTTTCGTTGTATAGAGGTTGGTTGACCTTGTTTTCGAAACTGGTCATATTGGTAGAAAGACTTATTGGAACGCACCTAGTCCGGGGTCCATTGTCTGTATGATCATTGATGGTGTGGCCTTTTGTGTGGTCGCAGTCTCCTTTCGTTGTATAGAGGTTGTTTAACCTTGTTTTCGCATGGTCATATTGGTAGAAAGACTTATTGGAACGCACCTAGTCCGGGGTCCATTGTCTGTATGATCATTGATGGTGTGGCCTTTTGTGTGGTCGCAGTCTCCTTTCGTTGTATAGAGGTTGTTTAACCTTGTTTTCGCAATCATTGGTAGGAAGACTTAGAGGGACGCACCTAGTCCGGAGTCCATTGTATGCATCATCATTTCAAGAGTAGGACCATGGACATGGTATATTCCCAGATGTTTCGCCGGCATCGTAGTCGGCATCGTGAGTGAGTCTCGCCATTCGTAGCACCATATTACAACTCGTCAAAGAGACAATGTGAGTAG